TACAGCTGTATATTAGGTCCAGTTTATAAGAAGGGTTCAACTCGCAGCTTTGTCACCCACTTTCTTTGTGGCCTTGGGCAACTCACTTAATCTCTCTATGCCTTGATTCTCCAGATGTAAAATGAAACTAATAAGACTTCCTGTCTAGCTTGTCTGCTCAGTTTGCATCTCTTTGAGACAGGAACTCTCTATTACTAGTTCTAAGACTGTTGTTCAACCAAGCACAGGAGTGGGACCAGCCCTCGTCATCTAAATATAGCAATATACTGATGTGTCACATTTCTGAGGCTTGGTTAGTCCAGGTTCAAATGCTGAGCTAGCAGAAATTATCCTCAATAGGATGGTTAGAAGTTCATCATCTACGGTGTCATTCCACCAGCTTAAATGGAATAAAAGTCTGACTAAACCCAAGGTTGAGCCTGCACAAAAGCCACTGTCATAGAAAAGTTTCCAGGCGAATAGATGGAAAGGGTGGCAGTTCACCTTTCTTTCCCAATCTCGCGGCATGTGGGATAGTAAGGTCTGCCTCGGGGCCCAAGTTCATGCCCAAAGCACCAATGGGCAGATCTGAGTCATGCTCAGCCCTCGATAGATTTTGTGAAATCTGTTTCTTTGCTTGACAAATTTACAGGGTAGCAGGTGTCTACCTCAGAAACCACAAAGCGTGAGCATTGCACAACCGGCAAACTTTTTGTGGTGGGGCTGAACTGGCCACAGGCTGAAATGACCTGCCGCAAGGGAGGTGCAGGCATCTCATTGATGGGGCATGGCGGGGATGAGCGGCTGACTCCATGGCTTGTATCTGTGCTGCTGCTAAATAGGGAATTGCAGCATCTGGGGCTTCTGCACAGCCCGTCATTAACCTCTCGATTCCTGTGTGAAAGCGGAAGCGTATGCTCACCCTGCCAGTTTTGGCAGCAAAAACACATCCTCTCTAGGAAGTCCTGTGGTGACCTCTGTCATCCCCTGACAGAGGCTGCAATCGCAGGGTGGCAGGCAAGCAAGCCCAGTTTGTGTGGTCCGAGTACCCTCTGCTGACAAGGAACGGCATGGCCAGATGCCTCCGCTACGTAGCTATCGCCTAGTTGGAGCTTTAGGCAAGGCAAACCCGAGAGGATCGCAATTCGAAGCATGGAAGACAATAATCCGTGTCAATGGGCAGGATGGGGCAGCCGTCACAGAGGACGTTCCCGTTTTCTGCTACTCCGTCCATGATTGATACGAAACCTGACGCCTTGATGTCTCTTCAAGAGAAAAATAGAGGACGTAGAGGCATCCGGTTTCGTATCAATAGAGGACAGAGGACAGCCGAAGAAAAAAATAAGACATAAAGGCATCCAGTTTCGTATCACTAGAGGACAGAGGACAACCGAACTGTCTTGGATGGCAGGATAGGAAGCCCAAAGAGGTGGCTTAGCCATCAATGCTGACGGGACCTGCTGGTGCTGAGGATGGCGTTATAGCGTGTTGTGTGGACTTGTGTAGGGGGTCTGTTGTGGGGAAGGAAACAGGCACTTTTCTGGATATAAAGTACCCCTCTCCAGGCCTGTTGTTAAGCATGAGGGGCCCGTTATGAATGTCAGCGTCAGGCTCGGAGGAAGGAGAGCCCACGGCCACCCTGCGCCCTGTTCCGCTCCTCACGGCAGTGCGGGGGCAGGCCGAGGCTTGCGGGGAGATGTGCAGCCAGGCGAGGCGGCCTCCCGCCATCCTTCCCCTGGGCTGTGGGGCAGGCCCACGGGCCCCGGCAACTCTCAGGCTTGGGGCCTGGGGTCCCGCTGTCTGCGCCCGGACTCCCACTTAGCACCCCTGGTGTGTCTGCCACGGGACACGCGTGTGATAGCGGGCATGCATTGGCAACACGCTTAGCGTGACGGTATCGGCGGCTCTTGGCACTGCCAGTGTGTGTTTGACGTGGCACATCTGAAGGGGGCGGGCATTACTGCAGGCACTGGGAACTTGCTTCACCTGAGAGCATTGGCAGCTCTTGGGGCACGCATGTGATAGTGAGGCCGCGTGTGATAGTGGGCACGTGTGTGATATAGGTCACGGCTAGGCACCCTCCCTCAGTGTCCCTGCTGGCCTCCCTCATCCGTCCCCCCCTACAAAAGGCTGTAGTGGTTCGGTCCTGTCTCTTCCCTATCCCCCCTCCAACCCCGTCATGGTTTCTTCCAACCGCCTCTGTCTCCAGAGGCCGCAATGGTTCCTCCCTGCCCCCCCGACACCACATGGTTCCTTCCACTGTCCGTACCCGCGCCAATAAAGTTCTTTCTCAGAAGTCTCGCGAGGTTTTGCTAGTTCTCGCGAGAACGCAGCCACGCGTATTCCAAGATGGCGGCGCCCGCGGTGGCGGTGCCTCGTTTTCGCACCCGCGACGTGTTGGTGCCCGGCGGTCCGGCCGACTTCGGCTCCCTGCTGCTGTCGGCCCCGGTGCTGGCGGGGCTGGAGGCCGCCGGCTTCCGCAGGCCCTCGCCGGTGCAGCTCAAGGCCATCCCGCTAGGCCGCTGCGGCCTGGGTGAGAGCGGGGGGGAGGGGAGAGTCAGTGATGGGAGGCAGTGGGTGGAATAGGGGGGCAGAGAGAGGGCAGGGGAGTTGGAGGGTCAAGCAGATGCCTGATCTGTGCTCCCCTCCCCCACTAGATCTCATCGTCCAGGCGAAATCTGGCACGGGCAAAACCTGCGTGTTCTCAGCAGTTGCCCTCGACTCCCTCATGCTGGAGAACCCAGCCACCCAGGTGAGCCCGGCGCGGGGTTGGGGCACCCTGCACATCTGCCCAGTGGGCCTACATGGCAGTGGCCTGGTTGTGTCGTACTGCGCGGGTCCCAGGATGAGTGCTTTCCCTGTGCTTTGCACCAGGGGTGGCCGGTCTGTGACATGGGTGCCCCAAGTGGCACGGGCAGCCTCTGCACATGGCACCTGCCAGGTCAGGGAGCAGGCAGCAGATCAGGTAGGGGATCAGAGTACCACTTGGGGGGAGGACGAGGGGCTTATTTGTGACATTCCTACCGAAAAAAAGGTTTCTTATCTTGTACCGTAACAAACATATTGTTGTCACCTTAGTCGCGTGAGGGCTGCAGTAGTGCCTAACATCCTTCATCTGGCAGGCAAGGTTATTTGAGTTGACGTATTATCATTTATTAGACCAATTGAGAAGTTGAAAAAAAAGTTTTTAGCAAGCTTTTGGGTGCACTCGACCTTCATCAGGCAACAGGAGTCTCTGCTGTTCTGAGACTCCAAGAAATGAGAGAAGCTGAAAGTGTGGTACGATGCAAGTGACAATGTAAATAGGTAGAAATTAGGATAACAAAAGGCAAAACAGGGAAGGGAAGGGTGAGAAAAGCAGGGTGAAAGAAAGCCAATGGTGAGTAAGGGAGACTCTACATAGGTAGTAATTCAAGGTGGAAAAGAGGGTGCCTGTGGAAAAGGAAATAGCTGGAAATTAGAAAGACGAAGGGCAGAAAAGTGATGGGGGGTGGGGAGAAGAGCAATGTAAAAGGTCAGCTCTGGCAGGTACCTGGTGAACTGGATGTCAGGCAGGTTGTAATGTTATAAATCCATGGTCTGTATTGAGTCCATGATCATCCGCTCGGTGCACTTTGTTGTGTTTAATTGAATAATTGTGCGTAAAAGAGGGCGAAGGGAAAGCAGCTGTCTAAGGGCTGCTAGAAGCCTTGCAAGTGACAGAAACCATGAATAAAGCTCATGTGTTGTGTATCGTGCTTGAGCCTCAGTCCTTGAGTCTCAGACGCTTCCTGTGAGTACTGCTCTGGAGCTGTTAGTTTAATTTGTTGTCTGCACTAGTAACGGGCTGCTTGATGAACTAAAATGAAACAAGTTGGGGTGGAAGAGGACAGTATCAAGAAGATGTCATGCTTTTGGGGATTTTTGAAGTTTACAAATCCAATGTTATGAATTACAGTAAAAAGTACCATGCCGGGTTGATGCCTTTAGTTCGGGAAACTTCATCTTGTTTCTCACGTAAACATACTGTGGGCTGTGATGTTGCATCCTGCCCATATGATGCCAGTCTGCTCTATGAGAGAGATCCCCGAGGGGGTAGGGGAGAGGTAAAGCAAATTCAGTCTCCTTTTTACTGAACAAGTGCTATCTAGACTTACACTTCCAAAGGCTTTACGCTGGCTATAAGACAACTTTCAGTCACTAAATCAGTAGTCTTGAGATGAAAGACTGTTTTAACCCTCTAAGCCATTGGTTTCGTCTTAAAGTCAAATTCTTCATTATTTCAGATACTCATCTTAGCACCCACAAGAGAGATTGCTGTGCAGATTCATGCTGTTATTTCAACTATTGGAATAAAAATGGAGGCCCTGGAATGTCACGTCTTCATTGGAGGCACCCCTTTAAACCAAGATAAAATCAGACTAAAAAAGTGCCACATAGCTGTTGGGTCCCCAGGTAAGAACCCACTTCAGCATACTTCAGGTAAAAACTAATGAGAGACTTTCTGTAGTACAGTAATTGGCACACTCGAAGTCTTGATTCTTGTCCCATAGTCATAGGGGACAGTTTCAGAGCTCAGTGCTAAAGAAAATTAGACCAGAGAAGTATTTTTAGTTTATAGATTATTCTAAATATGCTTTTTCAAAGAAAGGTTTGTTAAGGAAGTGGGTTAGATAGCAAATTTTAGATTTGCAATTGGTATAATTTCTTGTCTCATCATTAGATTTTTTTTTTCCATAAATATTTGTGAAACTCAAGTGACTCTCTTCTTGTATGTAGGTCGAATAAAGCAACTTATAGAGCTGGACTATCTGAACACTGCTAGCATCCGCCTTTTTATTCTTGACGAAGCAGACAAACTTTTGGAAGAAGGCAGTTTCCAGGAGCAAGTCAAGTAATAAACTGAGTTTCTCTCATACCTAAAAAATCTTTCCGCTCTAAAACACTTTATCTGAAGCATTCCCTTTCAATGTCTTTCTCTCTTAGCTGGATTTATTCTTCTTTGCCAGCCAACAAACAGATGCTCGCTGTTTCAGCTACCTACCCAGAGTCACTGGCCAATGCTTTGACCAGGTACATGAGAGATCCTACCTTTGTGAGGCTGAACCCCACTGATCCAAGTCTCATTGGTATGTATAAGAAATATATTTATACCTTTTGATATTTCAGGCAAATAAAATCTAAATGTAACATTCAGTTATGACCATAAAATTGTTCTCTAATTTTCATGAATTAGCACTGGTATATTTCCTTCTTTTTTTATAGTTTGGTTCACAAAAGTGCATATGCCCAAGATATGCCTACCCCAAGTACCAGTGATGGAGAGACCAGATTATTCTCCCTCTTGGGGGATATCTCTATTTCCATAACTTCAAAAGAAGTTGCAGACTTTCAGATTATGATTGAGCTATGTGCCAGTTTCCTTAATGTTCCCCAGTTCTTAAAATGTTGTTTTCTAGCTGATGTTGCTTATCTGAGCTAGCATTTTCCCTGTGTTGTGTGCTGTTTACCTAATTCTTTGCTTCCTTGCATAGGGTTGAAGCAGTATTACAAAGTTGTGAATTTTCATTCACTTCCTCACAAGACTTTTGAAGAGAAGGCTCAGCATCTACAGGAGCTCTTCAGCAAGGTGCCATTTAATCAGGCTTTGGTCTTCTCAAACTTGCATAGTAGGTAATGACATATTGATACTCAACAGCAAGACCCTTATGCATCCCTGTGCATGGTGCGAGTAATGTTTTCCACTTATACAGTACAAAGGACCCAAAACAACACAAACTATAGGCACGCCTCAACTTTGAAATGCAGATATTCTTGGGGAGGAAGCCTGTATCCATTGGGAGGTGTGGGATGCAGCACTGGAGAAGAGGGAGCATTTTGACATTAAGGCACTTCCTATGCTTACTAGAGCACAGTGGGATCCAGCGTTGATGTCTTTCTGGGTGTTGCAGTCTCTCCTAAAAGGGCAACGGACTTGTAAAACGGCAAGGTCTCTAACTAAACAAGAGAAGTGCCTGCAGGAGTCCTACTGGAGCTCCACTCTGCTTTTAAAGGGGTTGTAGGAACTCCAAGTTACATATTTAGGCTGCTAACTGTTCCGCTTCAGTGTAGCATCTAGAAGAAACATTATGATGTTTTATTTATCTCTTTTTTTATGTTTTGCTAGGGCTCAACACCTGGCTGAAGTACTGACATCCAAAGGGTTTCCTGCTGAGTGCATTTCAGGCAAGCGCATTTGGAACTTACTGTTTCTGTGCAATACTAACCTAATTCAGGAGTATTTACGATACAAGTGTGGGAAGTAGTTCTGTGTTCTTGTTCATTTTTTTTTTTTTTATGTTGGTTAGATGGTCTTGGTCAATTTATCCCCTTCCCCTCCCTCCAGGATTAAGGGATCCTATTTTATGTGTTGGAGTAGTTTGTTTTTGAAGGGGCAAGGGGAATCTGTCTGGAAATAACTGGGTGCATTTTGACCATTCCTAAAAAGTTAGGAACCAGTAGACCAGAAGTTGGTACATGTACAATAAAACTGTCCCATGTGTTTATAAGGTAATAAACACTAATTCACTTTCCAGTATTCCACTGTCTCTGTAAGAATATTTGCTGTTCTTCCAGTTCTTAAGTAAAACTTACTTGCATCCCATTTTATCCAACTTACTAAAGCATTTATACAGAAGAACTTTTTTCTTTTTTAAAGACAAGCTGCTTTTGTGTACTGCCTTTGTTTTTTTTCCGGGTCTTTCCTCTTGCATTTGACTTCCTCCATGGTATTATTTGGTGCAGCCTGCTATGAAGGATGGACATAACTTCTGTAGGTTTCACTCTCATCTGACATAAAATTTGCTTAGCATATTTAGTATTACACTAAATAACCCAGGGCTCTTTCAGTATGTTTTGATTTGAGTTTATGAAGGTTCACTTTTGTCTCTCCAGGCAGTATGAACCAGAACCAGCGACTTGATGCCATGGCTAAACTGAAGCAGTTCCATTGCAGAGTCCTGATTTCCACAGATTTAGTGAGTTTTTCCCTATTAAGCATATGTAACTTCAGAATTAGCGTACTATATTGCTGCTTGGAGTTAAATATGACTTGGACGTTATCTAATGAGCATCTGACTGAAGATATAGCAAACTTCTGCCACAGGGGAACATAGAAATGTGCTCTGAACAAAGAGTAGATTTTCAAAATCCTCTATTTAAATATGGTTTTAATTTGCTCCTTTTTAATCTGTGTTTTTGTGGCCAGTTTGTGGGAAGCTGCATGAATTAAAAGGTGCAATCTTTTTGGAGGGAGAAATGGGCAGAGCTTACTTTTTCCTTCCTGCGATACCTCTGTGTCAAAGCAGTTCCCCTGCATCTTTTTTGGGAGAGCAGTAACCATATCTTTGCTCAAGGTACAAGAGCATTGGACATGACATAATATTCATTTTTACTTTTTCCCCACCTCTTAATTGTTTTCATTCCTCCTTTGCTGTCTTCAGATCTGTGACTGAAGTTATACCACCATGAGCATTATTTTATCATCTGTGATGCTCGTACATTGGAGAGCTTATGTGCTCTCTTCATACTTGGACGTCTGCTTATTGAGCGCTGGCACAGTGATACAAAAGATGTTTAGGTGGCACATCCCAATGAAGTGTACTACTTAAGTAAATATTCCTACTCACCATTGCTTGTGGGTTTTCTTTTCCTCACCAAGACCTCTCGTGGAATTGATGCTGAGAAGGTGAATCTGGTCATTAACCTGGATGTGCCTTTGGACTGGGAGACGTACATGCATCGGATCGGCAGAGCTGGGCGCTTTGGTAAAACTTCTTTGTGTTTTTGTGCAGCTTTAAGTGGTCCATCTTTGGATCAGTCTAGGTAATTGTTTCCTTTTTAATATTGTAGGCACCTTAGGCTTATCTGTGACATACTGTTGCCGTGGGGAGGAAGAGAATTTGATGATGAAGATTGCACAGAAATGTAATCTGCAGCTCCATCCTTTGCCAGGTAGGGTCCTTTTTTTCTAAACATGTTTGTAGTATTGTTCCCATGGTGGCTTTCCTGATTTTACTCTGGTTCTGGGACTCAGACGTGGGGGTCATTTCTTTGAAGGGCAGCTCCTTGTGAAGAGCTGTTTCTCTTCTCTCGGGTTGTTTCTATACTAGTAACCATTGCCTGCTCTGAATAGTAATGCATCTGTTGTAAAGAAACAAAAAAGCACCGTCTATCAGTAATATTGGGAATACTCAACAGTTAGGATTTGTTGAGTCTGTTATAACTTGGGCTTTTTGTGTAGCACACAATAATAATTTACCCTATAAATCATGTTTGTTGCCTTGCAATCTGGAAAGAAGTTGGTGTGGTTCTTGACTGCTCTCTTTCTCTTGTGCAGAACCTATCCCCCCTGGATTGATGGACCAGTTTGCAGATTGGGATGTAGAAGTCACAGCTATGGCTCATATAGAAGCTTTGAATCCTGGGACCTTGCCCCATGAAAGGCCAGAGGAAGCAGTGCAACAGCCGCCCACAGGTAGTTGTGTGGAGACACCTCCACATTCTCCTGCTGTTTCAAGTGAAAGTTCTTCCATGGCCAAGCCAAAAAAGGCTCCTAAACAGAAACTACAAAAAGGCTGCTCAGATGGTGCCAACTCAGAAAAAAGTAGCAAGAGTCCAAAGACTTTGAAATGCAGTGTAGAGCAGAGCGGTCAAAAGAAAACTGCTCCCAAAATGACAAGACAAAATACTGATCAGCCCGTGGACAAGGAAACCTTAAAAAACATGTTGCCTAAGATTCCTTGCCTGTCATCTTTTAAGCGTCAGCAGCCTGGCAGTCCCTGGAGCTTTGCTGAATTTCTTGAGGACTATGAGTACTTCATTAAGGAGGGGCTGGAGAAGGAGGTTGAAATTGTAACAACCTACACTGGCCCAGGAGAGCCTTGCCAGCACCCTGAAAATGGGGCCTTAGAATGCAGAGAGATGGAAGAAACTAGCCGTGTAGTAGTAGACAGTGCCCGGTTTCAGGAGTCGGACAGTGACAGCAGCTCCTACGCTTCCAGGGCTTCCTCCTGTAGTGTGGAAAACAAGTCATGTTTCGAAGCTTCCTCAGATGCACAGGAGAAAGAAAATGTCATTGCCAGTGATCAGGTTCTTCCGAGCACCTCTCTACACCTCGCCCACCCATCAAGACCAGAAGAGCTCAAACAAATACCACAAGCCCCAAAGCAAAATCCAGCGAGAAGGAAAGTGAAGAAACAACACCCCAAAAAGAAAAGCCCTCATAATCAAGTCCCTGATCTTTCACAGGGAGAAGCTTATGCTGACTGTTCAGATGGCCCTTGGGATGGGAGAATGCATGGCTCTCAATATGAGTCTCAGAGTTATGAGGAATACTGGAAGTCTTATTACCAAGCATGGCAGAACTATTATGCTGCAGCTCCACATTCATACTATAGGAAATGTTACAGACACTTCACCTGGATGAGTGCTTATCACACTAACTCAGTCTATCTCCAAGAACTGCTGAAGAATGATGGGTGACAGCATAACATACCAAACAGGGAAGGGACTGATTTATGTGGAGAGTCCATTCATTCCAGGGAACAGCAATCTTCTAAGCTCGAAATGAACTTAGCAAAATTAGCAGATATTGTCTGTCAGACAAAAGTAAATGCAGCTTTTTGTAAGTAACCTTTTTTTCTGGGTAAATCTGTTTTATAAGCATTCTAGAGAGTTGGAGCTGTGGCTGCGATAACCTTTTATGTTAATAAATAGAAACGTGTCTTGTGTGTGTAGATCTGCAGTTTCTGTCTTTAAAGTATTGTTGGTTTAAGGAGAAATGCACACAGTTGATGCAAGTTAAGGAGAACAGTTTGTGTAAGAGATCATGTGATTAAAGAAGCTGAGTTCTATAAACCATCCAAACTGGCTATTGTTATCAGTTTTCTTGTGTTGTTCCTTTTAGGGGGTGCATTTGCCATGAAAATACTACACAAGTTGTCATTTCTGGTCAGTGATCATCATGGTTTACATGGTGTTTTCTTAACAGATAAGAAAAAAAATGAGTGTACTGCTTAATATTGGCAGATTGAAACCTGCATATCTCAATTAATGCATTTTATTTCCAATTCAAATTGAATTAATTAAAACTGTATAAATAACATTTGCGCGGCGAGGTAGGGTAGGCTGCACGATAGAGGAGCTTTTAATTATATACAGAAAAAGTTCAGCTATCGTAATTGGTCTGTCCCCTTGGGTGCAGCAATGTCAGACTTGCCATGCTTAAGGGAAAACTTTAATTAGAAAGGAAATTACCTATTAGCCCTGAAACTAATTGGCATTCTTTGTGAACAAGGCCCTACTGTTTTGTATCTTGCTGTCTTTGTTCAGGCCTTACTGTTTTGTATTTAACTGTCTTGAACCTGGGAAGGAGGGGACTGTCTGGCTTAAGGCATTGGTAATGCTTAGTCTTTCTCCACTAATTAGCCCACTGCAGCAAGTTTTAAATTCAAAATTACCATGTGAAGCTTGCCTGGGGCCCTAGGTGAAAAGATTTTCACCTTGGGACTCTGGCTGTGAACTAACCTTTAGTGCCCCAAATTGCCCAGAGTTGATCCGGTTGGTTGCATTCTTCACAGAGAAAGGCAGGCCACAGCCTGATCTCTCTGTTTCCCTACCTCAACCAACTACTTCTCTGAGGGCAGTTTGTTCCTGAGGATAGAGGGAGTCCAAGATATTCAGTCTCACACCAGGCACCATTTTTAATTCACTTGGAGAATATCAATGTGTTCTCATCCAATGTTAATAAACGAAACAAAATGTTGCAAAGACTAAACATAGAGATTTTAAGACCCACCAGTTCCTGCCTGCAGCCTCCTGTCTGTGGCTGCACATTTCAGACCTTCTGATACAATAATCATGCTGAAAAATGCATTGGCAGTCATTCTCTCAAGTAACTGCCTGCTGTATGTGAACAGCTGGACAAATATCCATTGAAAGGCTAGCAGGCAAGGCCTCGCTGCCTAACAGAACTCTGGCTCTTAGCTTTTTTAAACGATCCGAAAATCCGTAAAAGGCTCAAAGACATCTGTCTGCATGCAGTGGCATGCCTTAAATTCAAGCCTGGGCAGACTGTGTAAGACAACTCTCCTGTCAGCTGCCAAGTAGTTTATATATAGCCCTTTGCATCTTCAAAGCCCTTTGCAAACCTACCCTGGTACTAGTGAGTCTGCCAGAACTCAGGAAGGGAAGTGCTTGCATCTCCGTTTGGACTACTTGCTACTCCAAGAGACTAGGTTGACTGGGGTAGCTGGATGCCAGTAGCATTTTGCTAATCACAGATGCTAAATTCCCAAGCTCATTGCACAAATCCTGAAAGGATCCCAGGCCACTTTCCACTCCACAGCTGCTTTCACATATGCTGTTGTCAGGTGGGAAAACAGTGGCACCTAGTGGGGCCAGTGCTTATAGCAGGGTAGAAAACAAAAAGTTTAGCCCCACGGCCTGGTTGGTGCAGTGGGGTCATCTGCTTAGTAAAAACCAGTGTGAAGAGTAATTGCTATTAACTCATCAAAGCCTTTGAAGTGACATATATCATGTAGAATTGGTTGTACTTGTTTTGCTGCTTGATCTCAATGATCTCAGTCCTGAGTACAGAGCCCCAGCGTCACAAGGAGGAAGCACTTGAAGAATCAGGCCTGTAATTGTTAAGGAAATACACTCTGCCCCCCTAGCCGCTGTTAACGTTTAGGGCAGGAGTTGAGGAACAGTTGTATTCTCTCCCTGTCTCCTTCCCCTATTCTATATGGCATTAGAACAAATAACCACCATAAGAAGTATGCAGTTCCCAGTGCTTTTTCTATCAGCTGAAAAGGTCGTGACTTGCTTTAGTTTCTAACATCAGTACTTTGTGTTCCTGCTGTAATAAGCTGCAAAGGAGGATGTTGAGCTGGGCTGCATTATTGCTCCTTTCCGAAGTCTCTCAATGCATTCTTCAGTTACCAGCTGGTCAATATTGAACATTTAAAAAAAATAATAATAATTACGAGTCATTTGAAAAAGTATATATGTAATATAGTTACTCCCTTGGGCTTTCAGTCCTTATTTATTGGCTTTTCAGCTAATTTTTCCCCTTACCTCTTAGCTTTCTCTGCTATGCAAGGCTAACTGGCTTGTATTTTGCTTTCTAATAATCAATAAAAGTGTTGGTCAACTCCCAGAAACAGAATTTTTGCTACAGATGATACTGGCAGACCCATCAAGTTATATAACCTGAATTTTACTCTTCACTGTGGAATCAGCAGCAGAGGCTGATGGGCAAACTTCTTTGCCTTGTAATCTTGGTTCTAGGTTGGCCACAAAGGTTAGTGTGGGATACCATAACACTGTGGTATCAGTATCTATTTAGAAGTGACAGTTAGTCACGTCTTTCTTCAGTGGAAAACTTCTAACTTGTGTCTTTGTTGTTGTGTCTTTTTTTTAAATTCTGTATTGTGCTCCTGGCTGCTTTACAGCTGACACTGTATGTTAGCTGAGCACTGAATTAAGTTGTCTGTACATCCTGTATCCTTCCATGTGCTTTTCATCTCTGGTACTGCTGTTGCTAAGCAGCGTTGTTTGTTTCTGGGTTTTGGGTTGTTTTTTTAATTATCTATCCATGAAATCAGTGTCATGCATCCAAGCTGTGTGTGAATGAGTATCTTTAGCACATATGTCTTTAGAAGAAGTGTGTGTGGAGGGGGAGGGCGATTCTCTGCACCCAGCCTTTACCAGGACCATTTATATTGTTCATTTGAATGAATTTGCTATGTTTCACCATATGAAGAGACTTCTCATTGATGCTAAAAGCAAGTTTCCCCATCCCCAAACATGAAAGAGCTTTTTTTTTTTTTTTTTTTTTTTTTTTTTTTTTTTTTTTTTTTTTTTTTTTTTTTTTTTTTTTTTTTTTTTTTTTTTTTTTTTTTTTTAATTCTCCATTAAGCAAATTCAGGCCAGGGAGGGAAGAGCAAGGGAATGTAATGTGCTATCCAGGTGGATTTTCTTGAGATGAAGCTCAGAGCAGAAAGGTTGAAGGAATGTAAGCAACTTCTCCCTTTTGATTTTTGTAAAAAAAAAAAGAGCCCAATATAACATTCACTCCAGTTGAGCAGACTCTGACCTTGCTGAGGGGCTTGACTTAATGAAATGGCCTTTCTCCGGGAGCTGTGCAGTTGAGACGTTTCCTAGCATGAGAGAAGGGAGCTTGTATGGGCCCTACTGCCTTTGGGAGCTATGTGGACTGTAGCAGTTGTACTGGTATGTGGGGCTGTGACAGGATGAAATGAAATGTGAATATTGCTCCCGTGAAGGTTGGGTTGGTGAGAGGTGGTCATTCCTTGATATCTGCAGAAGAAGTGAGGAAATTCACAGTAGCTTCTTATCAATATCTGTCCTAGTAGCCCCATAATCAGGGGAAACAAAATGCTGTAGATAGCAGAGTTGGTATGAACAATGAAGGTGACTGGGGAGTCATGGCCTTCTGGTAAAGGGAGCACACTAAGAACCACATAGCAATGCAAATGTAGTTACTAAAGAGGCTGCTAGATACTGTGGTGATTTAATATGGTATAAATCATAGGGACAAATAAAAAAATGTTGGGTTGAGAGGAAACATCTTTCACTGACTGAAAACAAATCAATTCTCTGTTCCTTAAGGGGAAGCGCTTGTCTGTAAAGTTGGACATAGTGGGTGTGTCTACATGAGATGCTTACTGTGCCGTAGCTTGGTGCTACTGTGCGGTAGTGTCGTGACATGATGCTACTGTGCAGTAGCTGTGCGTGGATGCTACTGTGCAGTTACACCAGTTGCTGCACAGTCATTTAGGACTTGGTTATGCAAGTACTAAATGACTGCCCAGTGACAATTGCATAGTCACGTTTCGTGTAGACATGCCCACTATGTGCTGATGGTGCTTTTGCAAATATCATTTCCCTTGCTGATTCTAGAAAGAAGGGTTAGATTTCTTTTCACCAGATCAGAGAGATTCTGCAGTAGGCAGATCTCCCAGGAGGATCTCCACAGCTTCTCCAAACCAACTTGTTCAAAAAGACACCTACAACGTGATCTTAGCATTTGTGGCACATACTCCGTTTAATCCAGATTGGATACATCAGGTACAGCAGTGGCACAAGACTCAATACTGTAAATGATATACAAGTTGCAACATATGCACTACAATTCAAAAAGAAGACGACAAGAAACTCAGAGTTCTTCAGAAAGTTGTTCTCAAATGAATCTACCTGCAATTTTGTACAGTACATTTTTGTATCGGTCATTTTGTGATGTTGGTAAGCAAAGCCCATTTATAGTACCAAAATAGAAAATAATAAGGTCGAGAGAATTTCTCGTAACAACATAAAACCTCTAAAGAAAACACCATTGCATTGGAATGTCTCGCTTATTATCAAAAATATACCATCACACGCGCTTTGTAAAATATTTCATTGGTCCGAGGAGCCAGCTGGAACTCCGGTCATAGTTGCAACAGAACTGAGAGGAGCGCTCAGTATGGTTATTAACCTCTCACCCACGCAGATATGTAGCCTGCTTTGACTAGCACTAGTTGAAAATGAGAGGAAGCGTGCACGCACGCACACGCATATACATACAAAAATAACAAACTATTGACTGAAGACGAGACTTGGCAGGAATTTTTCACAAATTAGTTATCATTTGGTCTTGTTGACTGATCAACCTGAAATCTTTCTGGCACAGTGTTGTTACCTCGAATGTGTGTAATAATACTTCTCCCTTCTCTAGCGCCTTTCAGGTGAGGGTTGCTAAAGAACAGGCTGCTGAATTGAGCTTCTCTGTATTCCTGAGAATCAGGGAAGCATTTTCATCCACACTTACCCCTGGGTAAACAGGGTTAAAATGGGGATGTGTGACCTTTTCCAGATCACTTACCCATCTGCAAAAAAGCCAAGGACAGGACCTAGGTATTTTGCTTCTAACCCTTCCCCAGATCTCATCAGGAAACAACACTGCTGCTCATTATTCTTCCCGAGACCCTAAAAGGAAATCATCATTTGGAAGGAAGTTTGACTATTGTTTTATGGCATGGTTAACTGTAAAGCCTAGCACCTGAGTTACAAAATCACAAATCCAGTGCAGTTGATTAAAACTTTAAAGAACAAAACATTATTTGCTTGTCAATTAGAGCATTTAACTAGCAACAGGGCTGGCTAGAGAAGTGGGGAATGATTTTTGATAATTCACAACCACAAGGGAAAATTTAGTATGTGAAAAAGTGTCAATATTTTTAAACTAGCTTTAAACTTGGAATTAAGGCCCTCTGTTCAGAAGCTTTGCTGCTTGGGTGCTACTGGATGCCTATTTGCAGCTTCACCTCAGTCTAATATAGATTGTAGCATATTGCCTTGTTCAAGGGGGCACTGCAAACTATTGGCTAAATGTGATTTTTTTTTTTTTTTAAGGTCCTCAGCCAGCTTTAGAACAAGTGCAATGGACAGCGCATTTGCCCTGTGTCTACTTTTGCAAGTAAGCTCTGAGGAAGCACCCCCGCCTTCCCTAGCTGACAGTGTCTGACTTATTAATGCAGCACTGTCCCTGTATCTCAGTTACCTGAAGCAGAAAGCAGTGGGAGCTGGTTCAGAGCACTAGGGGATTATCAGCTATTTGGGGGCAGAAAGTGCAACCTTTGGAATCAGGTATTGGTGGCTTTGAGCACCAGTAACAAGACAATGATTCTTCCCACATATCGGTTAGAAGCAAACGTTTTTTTCCCAATAGTTAAGCTGTCTCTGTTAAGAAAATTGTCCTTTATTATGCCAGTATTTTTGAAGTTCACATTTAAAACCCTAATTCTTTGGTACCCCAAAGCAAGCTCCTGCAATAAGAATTTGCTGTGTAGAGATGGGATGTGGTGTGCATCTCCTGTTTGTTCATGGCTGACATTCGAGGCAGGAGGGAAATTATATAGAATGATGCAGGGGAATATAATTGGGAGTAATGGAAAGAAAAATAAGGGAAGAAGAATTATGGCTGAGTATCAGGGGAAAACTCCCTGACATTGCAATCTATTAAGGCTGGAACAGTCCCTCAAGAGAAGCAGTGGGAGTCCTGTCTAAGGAGAGATTTAAATCTAGTCTAGAGAAAGCACTGGGGAAATCTGTTGTAGGGAGGAATACGATGCTAGTAGGGGGTGTATTAAAGGGTCTTGCTGCCTTCAATTTATCTCTACCACAGTTTGGGGTTGGTGGCAACTCCTTTACAAGTGACTGGATTCTTAGGGAAAGGAAGATAAGGGTTTCCAAGATGGTAGTTTAAAGTCGAAGCTCGAGACAGAGAAATGCACCAGTTATTTGTGATGAATGCTGGTTTCAGGGTATACACAACCCTGCTGTAAGTACCAGCCCAGTGCCAGGAGAGACGAGAACAAACTCCTCATCTTGCTCACTGAAATCTTGGTCAAAACTTTCCAGGAAAACTGTTGTTTCTTTTGAGATGTTTGGAGGATGCCCCACCCAGATTTTTCTGTACAAATGATCAATTCTGATTTGGGCTTTCCGTGGGAAGGCCCCCAAAAATGTGTGGTGGGGGCAAGATAATTAGAAAAAGTTCTCATCCTGAGACTTGGCCTTTTCTATAGCAGCCGTGCTTCTCCAGTGGGTCCATTCCTGCTGTTTCGCCTCCTCCCCCCAGGAATACATCCTCTGGGATTCTGGACTTCCTGCTGCAAGAAGAGTGACAGAAGCAGAAGGAGCCAGTTCTGTGTCCTCTCTTCGGGGGTAAATGCCTGCAGTGCATTTCCTGAGCCTATCTGTGCAAACGCTTTTTCTCCTGCAACTGCAGAGCTTGTACCTCTCCTACTCCTTGGTGAAGCAGCTCTCCTTTCTCTGCGTAGCACTCTGGGAAGCTGCGTTATAGGTAGCACACCAACCCCTGATCCATACTACTATTTCACTGAGGGAGAACAAACCTGGCCTCTGGTGCCTGCGAGTGCAGAGATTTGCCTTGGGGAAACATCCTTTGGTCCTGCTCAGTGAAGTGTTAACCAGAGGCCCAGCCTCCTTTAAAAGCTGGCTTTGCCTTACACTGCTGGAATCGAGTCTCATGGATTTTCCCCTCCTTGTTCTTCACAAGGCTTCCTGCTGAACCAGAGACTGAGTGTGGTGGCACCTGCCAATGCAAGGGCAGAACAGTTAATTGCATGTTTCTCATTAAGAAGGATCTCTCCTGTTCAGATTGCAGCAAAGGCAGGACAGCCCAATCTGACCAGGCAAAGAGGGGCTGCAGCCACTGTGTCCTGCTCTTCTTGATGAAGCCACTGGCAACAAGAACGGTGAATTTCCAGAAAAGCAATTAAGTGCCCTGACAGGACTTGAGGTAGGGACAGTCATTATCATTCTCCTATAGGTGCATATCAGGGGAACATTTCACTCATGCTTTGACTAGGTGCAAACGGCAGCAAGTTGCTGGAGATTTGGCCCCCTGCTCCACAGAGCTAACAATGGCCAGGAGCGGACAATGAGGTGTAATGAGGGGCAGTGAAATTCAGCCAAGAAAGCACAGGTTGGATGTAGCCTAAAGAAACCCTGCTGCAGAAGAAACAGAAGCATCAAGAAAGCCCAGTGCCCAAGTTGTTTGGAACAGTCTTGGAGAGAAGGTACCAAGGGGAGCTCTGCAGCCCTGAGACAAATGACCGTCAGCTGGTGCCATTACCACAAACTTGGCTGTAGCCTTATCATTCCTAGAATGGTGTAAGTTTCTAAGGAGGTTACTGCGCTAGCCCATCAGCTTTCAGCATCCACATTACACAGAGGAATTGGCCAAGGATGCCGGCCAGGTAAGGTTGATAGTTTGTATTTTGAAATTGGTATGTCTCTAGCTAGCTGTGTGACAGTGGTATATATTTTGGGAGATATATAAAGAGGCACGAGGTATAAATTATATAGAATGATGCAAGGGGATATAATTGGGAGTAATGGCATGAAAAGTAAGGGAAGAAGAATTACCCTTTGCCTTCCAGAATCCCTCACAGTGCTACAAAGGGTAGTGTGTCAGTAAAATTGCTATTTACTCTTTGGCGAAAGGAAAACTCAAAATGCCTCCTAACTGTCCGCAGCCTGTCAGCTCCATGGGGCAGGATTTGTGTCTGACCGTGTGTTTGTACAGCCCCTACCACAACAAGGCCACAATCATCCTTGGATCTGTTGGGCACATGTATGACGCTCGAGAAGACTTCACGCTGTATCTGAGGGCAACGCAGTAATCACACGAAGGTGACCTACCTCATTGTTAAGTGAGGTTACTGAACTGCGCTTGTGGGGGATCTAAGGAGGGCAAAGTAAGAAATGATTTTCTCTTCGTTTTCCCTAGAGGATAACATTAAGTTGAAAACGAGCCCAAGAAAGATCTCAGAGAGAACAGTCAGTGTTCGCCACAGGACGAGTTAGATGTATTTGCTGTTCGTGGCAGTACCACGCAGAGATATGGTTTTTGACTGATTAAAAAGCATGTGACTTTACCCAGACTCTTGAGTAGAGCTGCAAAGGAAAGCTCTGTCTGTACCACCCCATCTCAAATGTATTCCAACCCTCCATACCACTCCTCCTTGCATGGTCACATGTGGTAGCTCCTGTGCTGGGATGAAAGAACTAAAATTGCTAACCTAGTTTGCCTCCTAAGCCAATGCAACCCAGAAGCCACTGGCTAAACCGATTGGAGCCATGGGACTGGGCAAAAAAAGCCAAACACCCTGTCAGTCCGTGCAAGATGGTCGGCTCCAGGGTTAATTTTATCAAGCATCGATCCAGACACTCAGTGGCTACTATTTACAATGGGCTGCATATATATATTTATATATAAATAAAAGAAATGGAAAAGCATGGGTATAGATTACAGAGTACGTTCTGTCGGACTCATGGACACCCAGTGCAGTTGAGTTTAGTGCTTTCGCCTTCTTTGCTATTTGTGTGCACAGGATTAAAAAAAAAAAAAAAGAAAAGAAAAAAAAGATTCCTACTTTATTTTTCCTTTTGAAAAATACAGCACTAGTCATCTAGTCACACTTATTACAAGTAAGTGATAACAAAAATAGAAAGCAGAAATCCGGGTGGGACTAAAACTCTACTGAAGCCTGTCTTTTTTTTTTTTCTTTTTTCTTCACAAATATGTTTTCACAGACAATAATTAGCAGACAAACACACTGTTTGCAATTGCACTGTATTGACTTAAAAGGCGGTTACAAAATCATCTAGGTAAAGAATGCCATCCAGGGTGAAAGACTGATCTGTGTGTGTGCGCGCCTGTGTGCATGCACGTGTGTGCCGACACATTTGTGCTACTGGCTTCCTATTGTGCACTGAGTCATGAAAACACGCTCAGATCGCTGTAGCTGAATCGTTCTGCTGGGGGCTCACACCTGTGCACGCACATGCGTGAGCACGCGCACACACACACACACACACTTATACACGCACACAGTATGGAGATTGATTTCTGTGACAGGTGGCTTCTTTGTCTAAATCTTTCCCTATAAAAGAAAAAAAAATGTGTAATTTTGGTTGATTAAAGGTTCTGCTCCATGAAGAAAAAAAAATCACAAAATCCATTGTTTTGTTTTTTTCACCTTTTCAGTCATTTCCTCATGAATAAATATTATCCATTAAAAACCTTTAAAAAGGTGCTGAGATCCACAGTGTTATATTTCTGTTTCTTTTATTGACTTTCTTGTTGCCATGACTGTTCTCCTTCTCCAGCCCCCAGAAACAATTTTCTGCTCCGTATCCTGGAACAAGGCTCTCGACCCGCACGCGCGCACACAGCCCCTTCCTCCCACCTGCCTCTTCCTCCCTCTCCTCGTCAGTCCATGGCATGAATGCGAGTTTGAAGAAAGCTGCCTTGTTAGGTCTCCGTTGCTAATTCTATGACGAAATGTCAGGTTGGTCCATCCAGGCACAAATTGCAGCAAGGAAGGAGCGTGGAGTTGTGGAGGGGGAGGGACGCCGGGGGTCCAGCCAGTTTCTTCGCGCGACGCCGTCTTACAAGGCAGAGACCTTGACTATGTTGCTGCTTGCGGTGGAAATGTTCGTGGCATGGCTGGGGCTGCCAGGCGGAGGCCTGCTCTCCCCTTCGGGCGTCAGCGCTGGCGGGGTGGGGATACTGATGATGGCTGTCGTGATCTGGGAGGCTTTGCAGTTCGGTCTCAGCCCGTCGTCTGATTTCATATTGAGACTGGAACGACTAGAAGACAAAGCGGATGTTTTTAAAGAGACTGGAGGAGGGCAGGAACAGCAGCTGCACCCCTGGTGGGCATGAGAGCTCTGAGCTAAGGGCGCTTAACTCTGATTAACACCACAGCCTCTTAACTCTCCCTGGCCAGGCTGGGGCTGCCCCTCTGCACCACTGACGCTGGCAGTGATTCCTGCCACAGGTCTGTGCCTGCGTCCCTATCCACATGGCACCTATGCAGTCATCCCTTCCCACCCCACTTACTGAAATCCTTCTGGTTTGTTTCTGTGCAAGGTACCATGGTGCACTGCAGTGGCTCTGAGGCCTGGGGATGGTCCCAGAGCCCTGCTCAAGGAGGGGCTTGGTGCTAGGAGGAGGACAGGGTGGGGTTGTCCTGCACTGTGGCCTTCTGTTACCTTCAGGTGGTTGTTTCAGGCTGTGGCGAGCAGGCACTGCCTTGGCTGTGTGTGTGCATGTGTCCTACCCCCTGTTGTTAATGCACTGGGTGCTGTATGCCTTGCAGGGTTGGTCTGACACCCCATCTCAGTGCAGGTCCCTGTGGGCCTCTGACAACAGGGACTGATGCTTGCCTGCAGTGGTTTGTGACCATGGACAACTGAGTGGCTTCTGCAGCAGAGCCGAGGGACAGCGCCACGTCAAGGATGCTGCTGGTAGGAGGCTGTGAACTTCAGGGAGAGATGTTCCCTGCAGCTTCTTAAGTGAAAACCCCCTGAGCCTGGCAGCTGAGGATGGTCCCCTCTGCAGCCGCTGCAATGATTAACAATCAGGCAGAAACTCAGCAGGGAGAGAGGAGAGGGCTGGGATTCTCTCTGCAGCAACAAGGGACCTTTTGCCTCTGCAGATCCCAGTGCAGAAAACGTCCAGGGCTGAGGAAAAGCAATGCAAGCCCATCGGCCATAGTGAAGCAAAGCCTGTTTATGCCCTGCCCAATGTTTCTGGCTGCACGGGTACTTCCTGGCTTGTCCCCCTAGCAGCCTTTGCACCTGGCTCTGCTCCTAGGCTGGATTCACTGCTGCAGCGGTGCTGGATGCATTAGGGTCAACTTGTGGGAGCCTGATGTGCGTGAGAGGGGGGCCAGGCCCCCAGGCGAGGGCTCCGTCTCTGTGGTGCAGCTGGGTCTCACTGAGAGCAGATCCAGGCTTCATGGCACTTCGGTTTCTCATCTCAAACCTGCCTTTCTTTTAGCTCTTCTATTTTGTCGCCCTGCAGCAGTGGTGGAGATCTGGCAGCGAGGAGCATTCTGAGCAGAGATGTCTCCGTTATGTCCCATAATTAATTACCAAGGGAAAGCGATAGGTCTGCTTTCCATGCATCTCTATAGCTGCCTGAGTCCGCTATTACCAGCCTAGCCTGCCTGCTTCAAAGACAAGCTTGTGCTTTTAAAAGATAAAAGGCTCCCTGTTGGACAGGCACCGCTGTCGTTATCACCAGGAGGAGCTGTCCGGACCTCTGCAGCCTCCTAGCAATGTCACAAGACATCCTCTGCATCGGGGAGTCCGGGAAGCAGCATTCCCAGAGGCTGCTCAGATGCTGTGCGCTGGCCACAGGACTCGGTTGCTGTTGTAACTGCAGTCCATGGAGCGTGACGGACGGTCTTGCCCCGTGGCAGCAGCTTGGTGGCCCTCTGGCTCCCACTGGACAGCTGCACAAAGCAGAATCAGCAGCCTTGGCTGGAGAGTGTAAGGCTGGCTTCCAACACTTACAGCCAAATCCTACTTCAGGGGATCCAAGCCCATGCTCCTGCCTCCCTGCAAGTTGGCCACGCATTGTGACAGGCCAGCCCCAAAGGAGGGGCCACGCAGCAGCGATGGCGCAGATCTTCCTGCTCTGCTTCCCTTCCCTCCCTGACACGCTGGGGCAAGCAGGGAATTCGCTACTGGTGCTGCCATTTAGAAGATCATCGCTGGCATCTAATTTAGCACCCACTGAAATGGGCAGAGTGGGGCACGCTCCTTGGGCTCTCCAGCCAGCGTGGAGGCGACCGTATTCACGACACATTTCAATTCTAGGTTTCAGCAGCAGCGGGGAGGTTGCCCAGGCCCCCAGCTCCAGCCTTTCCTGCAAGAAGGGCAGCCTCGTCTGCTGGAGACTGATTATCTTGGCTTTCTCATTCCAGCATGAGACCCTGTTCTTCCCTTGGATGCTCTGCTAGCTAGTGTCACTGGCACCGTATGCTGCATCCTCTCTGCCACAGAGGAGCTGCATTTCAGCCATAGGCAAATAGTTCCCAGATGCTTTTGGTGTGGGTGGGAAGGGCACTTTTAATGCTTTAAACCCAACTCTTTCTCCCCATACCCTTTCCCAGAGCTGCCCGATATGCAGGAAGTTTTCCTAGGCGTAGAGAGGGGAGTTCAGAAGTTCATTGAATGTTGCCAAGGAAACAGGGGTGATGAGCTGCCTCGCGACTAAATTAGGCTGAAAGAGAGTCAATTTGAAACCATCTCTTGGAGGATGGGTGCTGCTTTGCCTATGCAACCAGCAGCGCTTGGGATGAGCCCAACAAGAACAGTTTGAAAATCCGCTCTACTTGTGGCTCTTTTTTTCTCTTTTATAAGTTGGTTGGCTCCTGGCAATGGAAACGGATGCAATCCGGTCTCTGGCAGGCATAGTCGGTATGGAGGTGAGATGTGAATAAGGGGCTGCATGTTACACAACACACACAGATTGCCTGGGACCGATGCCGTCTTGCTTGGCTCATGCCTGAGACGACAGCTGTGTCCTAGCTAATAGGAGCTGGGCTAAGCCAGTCTCAGCTGAGAGCTGCCTCCCTCTGGATAACCAAATAAAAAGCTGTGCCCAGCTGGGCTACGTGCCCTTCAGGCTGCAGGAATGGTCCTGCGTGAGTGTGGTCACATCTGGGCATCACCAACTTCAGACTGAGCCAGTGGGTCTCTACTGGGAGTCACCTCCTTCCCAGCACGGAGCCAGCTGTCTCCAGGCCAAGAGTTACAGACCAGGTAGGAGTCACCTCCTTGAGCCCTGGCTGGGCTGGTAGGACTCTCTCTTCAGTGCATGGGCATGCAATAGTTAGCAGCAAGAGCCTACTTACTGTACCTGGTTGTAAGCGATGGCTGTTCGCTGCACTGGATGTGGATGGTGCTGAGCTCTTGCATGCTCCGTAAGCGAGTGGCCGGCACGCTGGAGTTGGGGAGGTGCGTGGTCTTCTTGTTGCGGCGCGAGCAGCAGGACGTGGTCAGACCCTGCTGACTCGACAAGGAGGGGCTGCGGGTGGACGGGTAGTTCTGCATGGAGCTGTCCATGCAGTTCTGCTCAAACAGCTGCTCGTCTATGAACTCGTGGTTCTGGCAGGGAAAAGGACAGCGGTGTCACTCAGCAGCCGCTACAGCAAAGGCCACTGGCTTGCAAGCGTGCCCTTCGCTACTGTGGTGCGACGAGGCAGCCCCTTGCATGCGCACAGAGCTCTCTGCCTCAAAAGGTCCGTGCCAGGCGTCTCCAGGTTGACAAGTGCAAACAGCGGTGGGCAAGGAGATGACTCCCCCTCCCCAGTGCTTGCTGCACCACTACTGCATAGCTAGAAGAGGAGCTGGGGTGATGATGTGGGCACGATAGCTATACATCCCGTGATGGGATGTCTGTTGACCCTGACTGTCCTTTTGCTCAGCTGTTGTGGCTTCAGGGCAGGCTCTGATGCCACCTGATCAAAACATGGGAGGAGCTGGGAATCGGGATCTTTGCTTCCCTAGTTTGGGGTTGGTGCTGCTGTCGGTGAGGCTGCCCGGAGGGCCAGTCACCCCTCTGTTTGCAGTGATGACGTGCGGGCGAAACCAATCCAGTGCAGCACGTACCTACGGTTCCAGCCGTCACTGGGATGGAAGCTGGGCCTTGTCCGTATGAGCCCACCCCAGCACTGGGTCTTCTGGCCCCCAGCCATCAAGTGTCACCACCCAGCTGCCGGAGCGCATACGTACCCAGCTGCAGGAGCAGAGCGTGCCATGGGATAGCACCAGCTGCTGAAGGGACCGTGGGAGCCAGCAGCAGGTGCAGGAGTGTCTACATGGGCCTCCTGCTAGGCACCAGGTGTAGCAGGAGCCGGACTCCACTCAGTAGATGTGGAGTAGCTCTGAGGGCAGAAAGGTGGGCAGGGGTGGGGGGAACCTGCCAAAAAGCTTGGGGTTTGGACGTGCTGAGAGTTTTGCCAGCAGGGTTTTGTAGTGCAAAGCTCGGCAGTGTCGACTGCGACCAAGTCGTACGGGCCACGGTAAGTGTGTTAAGGTCGAAGCTGCCACAGGGGAAGGACAGTGGGGAGGCAAATGATGACAGAGGGCAACCTAAGAATGCAAAGCTCAGCAGAAAACTTTAGACCCTCTTGTTGGAAGGAGCAAGGAACGGTGAAAAGAAGAGCCCCAGCATATACCCCTAGGCACAGATACGCACGCTCACGGAGACCTGAGATACCAATCTAGCCATTCCCTGTCAGAACCGGAAAGGATGGGGGGAAAAAGGAAACAAACCAC